CACACACACACTAAGCACTAAGCAGTGCACACTCTCACCACTCACAACCACACCTCTATTTCTCTACTTTCAATTTTTTCTCTTTTTTCAAAGGCTTTAGGCAAAAACAATAAATCCCTTAATACTCAAGATGATAGTGAGACCCATATTAGCAACACACACCGTTATGATGAAGTTGATAATGAAGATGAAGCTGTTGAACAACCAGAAATGTTATTCTTGTTTTTGAAGCTATTGAACACACACAATCTTTTGTTTTTCTATTGGATTTTGTAATGTTATGCACTCATGCTCATCTTTTTTTTAACTTATGTTTTGACTTTTGGTACACCAAACCGAATACATGGTACACCGTACCGCTTCGTACTGAAATGAACCTACCCCCCTTCGTACCAAATTCGTCACCTCTACCAAATTTTGTACTCGTACCACGTACCTGTATCGAAACGTACCGCAATTTAGGTGACTTGGAGGAAAACCAAAAGCTCGTGTAGCTTTTGAACTCCATTGAAAGTTTCCCCAAGCATCCTAAAACATTAACAGTGCTCATTTGAGCACACAACTATTACATTAGTGCTCAACAAGCACTCCAACATTACATTGACATTCACCGAGCACTCAAGCACAAAATTCATGCTCACAGAGCACTCAAAACACCTTTTATACTTTTCTCTTTTTCCGTTTTCTCATTAAAAAACAGAAACACCATTGAAGCTAATATTTATTCCATAAGGTCGTGATACAAGATATGGGAGAAAAAAAGATGGAAAGAAAGAAAGAACACAATGACATGAAACTTACAAAGGCCCCACTTGGTTCACATAAGGTTACAAAAATGACCCACAAAACTCATTCCCTGAACCCTTCCACCCCTTTAGGTTTCCTCATATGGTATTAGAAAAGTAAAAAACAAACGTGTCCTCTTATTTTCAGTAAAAAAACCCTTCCACCCCTTAAGCTTCTCAAAACAAAAATTCTCAAGAAATCCTATGGAAGAAAAAACATTTAAGATTCTTAAAAAATCAATCTTCACATAATCACATTTCTGCACAACTTATAATAATTCACCACCACTACAGCATTACTAGCTTTTGCATTTGCAGCATCAATTCCCCTTCTGCAATCCTAAAAAACCAGAGCTCAAAAGACAGACAAAATTCCGACATGGATATATTGGCTTTGTTGCATTGCTGCAACCTTGCCGCTTAGAAAGGAAATTATGCTATCTGTGGTCTGAATTGCTGATGCTTATGATGGCTTGGCTATGTTGCCCTAATGCTACAATTTGCTTCAACTGTCGCTGCATCGGATTTTAGTATTCTTTGTTTTGTTTATATTTTAATCAAACACTAGGTGTCTGGTACAGGTCTGTGGAATGAAACTACCACAGTTCCAATCGCGATTCCAAAGCCATACCCGATATTGAGCCAAATGAGGCCTAAATAGAAGTTTTTATTCTAATTTAATAGCAGAAAGGGAAGAATCTTAGCTTAAGAGGAAAACACAATAGTGAGATGTATGCTACAAATCACTGGAATAGTAACTAGCTCTGAAACAACGTTGAAAATTGGGACAACACTTAGAGTCTAAGACTCTTCTTTTGTTATTAACACAAACAAAATTACATTTTCCTTATACACTTGTATACCCAAAATACGAAGACAGTGCTTCCTTAAACAGGAAAAAATAGGGACTAATATTTTTAAACAGACCATGACACACCTTTTAGTCTATTACTCTATTACGCACATTACTTTACACATATATTGTACTTTCTAGGACACTATTTCTTATATATAACACTTTTGACATTCTGTATTAGATTTATTATGCTCTATTTCTTTATGAAATCATGATCAACTCTATAAACTAATAATGATGAAGGGATTTTTTTATCAGAATATGAGTAAAAAACTCAAAGTCATTTGACTAACAAAGCCTAAGGAGTAGACCTGGCAAAATTGACCCGGACCCGATAACCCGAACCGAATAACCCGGAACCAAACCCGATTTGACCCGAAAACTGAAGAACCAAAATAGACCCGAACACCCGAAATGACCCGAACCGAACCCAAACCGAATGTATTCAGACCCGATTCAGATCTGAATCCAATTAAACCCGAACCGATAAAACCCAAACCGGATTAAACCCGGAACCGATTAGACCCGAAATTGATTAAATTTTATGTACGTCTGTGTTAAATAATAAAATAACTACGGAGTATATCATAAATTGATTAAATTTATTATGTGATATTATTGATTTATTAGTAAATATTTGATATATATTTGAACTAATATAAACCTAAATCAATACAAACCCGAATCAATATAAACCCGAACCGATACAAACCCGAACCGATATAAACCCGATCTGATACAAACCCGAACCGATACAAACCCGAACCGAAACCGAACCGAAACCGAAAATCAGTCAAACCGAAATTAACCCGGAACTGAACTGACCAGAACCGAACCGACCCGAACCGATTATAACATATATCCGAATGAGACCCGAACCGAAAAGACCCGAACCGGAACCGAACCGATTGACCCGATTGCCAGGTCTACTAAGGAGAATCTCCCATTATTAAAAAAATATTGAATTAATTTCCACATTATTTTGATTTATGATAACAACAACAAACCCAAAATAACATCAAGATGTATGCAACCCTAACTTCTGCTAAACCTTTGATGCATTGCTTCATTTACTACTAAACCTTCACAAAAAGTAAGAAGCAAATGAAATTTAGTGTCATTTTGATTTAGTCTATTAACAAGATAACTCCCTGAAATATAGGTTTACTAACATAAAATGGCTTTGAGAATTAATTGGCCTAAACAATTTTAATTAAAAAAATACTTGACTTATTCAATAATCTTAATCCTAATTTTTTTATGAACTTACGCTACTTCCTAAAATAACAACTAAAGCCCTTAAAATAGAAATTAATAAAACACAAATCTATTTTTTCAAGATCAGTGTTCCTGATCGGTATTTTATCGGGAAAAGGACTAAACTAGGAGTAAAACAAGGAGAAAGTACCAAAATAGGAGCTCCATGTTTTTATTCCAAAAATAGAAGTTACAATGCCAATATATAGGACGAAAAAATACATGGGATGCCACTATACAGTGTCACAGTGCAAACTCTTATTTTGACGATAAAACATAGAACTCCTATTTTGAGGATAAATGTTATGTTTTACTCCTATTTTGGGGTGATTTCTCTATTCTATCGCTTGGTAAATTTTCCTTGTCCTCAAGGCAAATGTAAACAAACAAATTTTGTATATATGGGGGTTTAGTTAGGGGCAGCTCAAAACCAATATAAAGCTGGCATCAAACTGTATCTGCCACTGGAAACAGGCCTCCAACGTGTTGAAGTTGTTTCTGCTACGGTACCCCACAATGTATTATAAGAAACGATTGAACCCATTGTGGCAGATCCATTTATTTCTTTTCTGCAGAAGGAATTGTCCTTCGTTTGTTATATTTGTGAGATTCCTAAGTGAGGAAGAGAATGTATCTTGCATTCTCGGTACATGAGCATAAGCCTCCCTTTAAATTTTAGTGCTAGGATAGCCATTTTATAGTTGCTTTAGAGTTTAGATATAAGCATCCTTGCTTCTTGGTTTCTAAATTTTCTTTCTACCAACCTCCAAATGAAATCTATGGGCAATGACTCCTTTGCTAGTCAGGCATATGTTGAAACATAGTGCCTCGAACTTCAGAGGTTGCCGCATTAAAATTAATGACGTCAAGGCGAGCTATAATATAAAATAATTGGTGTACTTGATTACTTGTATGCAGAATAACAGTTAGATGGGAAATTGTATGGAGAGAAAGGATAAACAGAATTTGTGCAGGACCCAGAAGGAGCTAGTACATATCATATGTCGTTGATATCAAATGAGAAACCCAAGATAGGTAGGGGAATTAAGGAGAAATTTCATTAAATTATGAAATCAGGATCTAATTGCATAAAATAATAAAGTTGAAGGAAAATCTTTATGCAAATATGAGTCATAATGTTAAACTCGTATGCCTAACAATGCCCAGGAGAATCTCCAAAGATAAAATTAAACATTGAACTAATTTACAGATAATTTCACATATCATTACACTAGATATTTACAGACAGAAAATAATGACTCCCTAAATCTTAGCTCCACTAGCAACATTTCCCTAAAATTTAGGTTACCGAACTCATGACTTAGAGAATTAGCAAACGTAGATATATATAGTAAAAATAAATAAAATGCTTGATCAATGATCTTGGCAGAGTACATAGAGCTTGAACTTGTCCTGCACGGCTGCACCTAATAAAATAAATTATGCTAATATATTTGTTCAAATTCAGACTTCCTAATTGGTATTCTACCAATAGTAAACTTCAAGAAATTATTCAGTTTTTAGTTACCACCTCCCCTTCCCGTCCCAAAAATAAGAGGCATGTTCATGATACTAATATCAGTATTACAAACAAAACTTTCCATTAGGACAGAAGTAGCATTGAATTATAACCCATTTTCATACTAAAGACATTAAATATGTTTTCCCCATTCTGAAAGGTTATTGAAAAGTAAACAATCTAAGTTGTTGACTTATTGGAATAAAAATTACATATCCTATGCCAAAAGGCTATTGAAAAGTAATATCTACAATTTTAAAAAATTCCTAATCCCACTTAAGTTTAACCAATTTGAATAAACTTACATATTTGCAAACATTAACAATACCTGCAAGAACACGCCAGGAGAAACCTCTGAAATTATGCCATCCTTTCCTGCTAAGTTAACTGTCTTCATCAGATTTATGACAGCAGGACGGGTCTACTCGTGGCAAAATCAAAAGAATCAGGTACTACTTAAGTTCACAGAAAATCCAAAATAGGTACACACATATGCTGTTAAGCTAAAACTATAAATTCAAAACTCCAATGAGAAGCTTAAGAAGAATGTGTACTCACTTTTCCAGTAGCTATCACTACCTTTACACCCCTAGAAGTGGCCTCTTTCAAAGCGTGTGCTGTTGCAAGAGAAATCTGACTACTGGTATTCAGAAGAGTACCTTCCATCATAGGAGAGAGAAAAAATTACTACCCTGTAAATAAGTGACAACTTGCAAAGGGAACGCTTCCCAGCATCATAATTGGATATCTTACCATCCATATCACAGAAGATATATCTAAACTTTGGTCTGTAAAATCGAAGACTCCCTTCCCTCTTCCTGTCTTTAAACAATTAGATGTGGAGTCTTCAGTGACCTTAGCAATTAAAGTATGGATACATGTTTATACTTCATAGAAGATAATGTTCATTGAAGAAGTCAACACGTCTAAATTACCATCAGCAGCCTCAATAGAAATACCATCTATGTCATAAGAACTATTAATTAACCCTTTCCCCTTCCACCCCAGCCTCTTTAAAAGTAACTGCTCCGCCTCTTCCATTTCAGTTTCCGCTTCATCACTAATTTCATGATCAAATCCCAAAAGATGTAGTAATCCATGAACCTACAATAAACAAATCTGTAATTAGACTTTTAAATTGTAGCTGATTTTCAGTTAAAATCCAGAGGTATTGGAATAACGCTCTTGGGATGGATTATGATACATGAGCAAGATGAATAGCATATAAACCAGCCATAATGGGCCACTGCGCCTGAGCCTTGCTTGTGAGTTTAGGAACGAGTAGTGATCTACTAATCTACGTTGTGGCGGCTCCTAAAAATTCAAACATGGAAGCCGGGGTTTAAGGAGCTTTCCTACTATAATATATTAGCATGTAAAGCAGTATCGTGGATTGGAACTAAAGGTTTCAGGATTTGCATGAATAGGAATGAATTCATGGAGTGCAGTTTCAGAAACTAAAGGTTTCAGACTTAGCATAACTATGAATGAATTCATAGAGTGCAATTTCAGCACTGAGTCAAAAGTTGAGGCGAAGATTGAGTCTGAACCCATTCCCAAAAGGGATAGTTTCTGATACCTTGGGTTCATAGCCCACGTTGAAGGAGAGATTACTGGGGATGTTGCTCATCGTATAAGGACGGGCCGGATGAAATTGACACTTATGTAACGTCCCCGGTGCCTTATGCGACAAAGATGTGCCACTGCCACTGAAAGTAGAAGGCATGTTTTACATAGAAGTGGTATGTCGGGCTGATGTATGGGCATAGTGTTGGGCGAAAATGAGTCAAACCATCGCCATGGAAACTTTTTTGTGGCGAAGGAGACCCAGATCGCCAATGGCGCCAAATAGTGATCATTAGTTGCGCCCCTTATAAGCATTGGAGTAATTACAACTGTGACCTTCAACAACTCGCCCCACCCAACTCATTTTAAAAACAAGTTGAGGCCAAGTCCTACGAATTTTGACCTGGCATACGCCTATTGGGGAGAGATCTTTGCACCTTTGTATCCAATTACTATCTTTGTCCCTAAATAAAGTCCTAGGTGAAACTATGTCGCTATTCTTTACCTGCTTACTTTAATCATTTATTACAATAAAATAGTGTTATCACTACTTGTTTTGTAGAATTTTTTATATAGTTTTTAAATGGAGTATGCAATTTTTTTTAATATTACATCAATGTTTAAATACAATGAATTGAAAATAAAAATCAGTACCCTAAACCAAAATATTGAAGTTTATTCAGGGAAAGGAGTAAAACATTTAAGCAATAATATTCATTCCCTTGCGTTATTACTTGTTCTTTACAAGTGAAATAGTTAACACTAGAGTCAGTTTCAAAGCAAAGATCATCCAAGAGGGATGGGTAACAGGGAGGAAGACGACGACGACAAGAACAAACTCAGTTGAAATCCAGTGATTGGGGCCTTTGGAGGGTGAGTGTAAGCAAACCTTACGCCTACCACGAAGATGTTAATAAATGTGGAGAAGCACAGCCCACACAATTAGTGTTGAGCCTTGAGGCGTTGCCAAAAATACACACACAATGGCATCTAGGGGGGCCCATAGACCATATAAGTCTTGGTCGTGGAATGAAGAAGTAGAAGTTAAGGTCAAGGTTTAAATGATGACGTTTTGAAGACTTACTAGTGGGTCAGTATGAAGATGATAAGAGTACAGTAAGAAACTTTTAAGGAAGCTAATTGAAAGGCATAATAGACATATACTAAACAAAATATGAGATATTAGGTGCCACCTTTTTTCTTGAGTGCTAAATTGTTAAATTGTAACTCTTTTGATTCACAATATATTAGTTAATGACTGCATGCTAAATGAATAGTAATCATTTGATAATAAATTGCATTCCCTAATATGAAATACACATTAAAATTGTGTTAGGTACTTAAATAACCTATTTTTAAAAATCTCAATAATTATATTAAAATGAAAAATACATATATTATGGTATATTTCTAGGAAATGCCTAGGCAGCCTTCCAATGCCTGCTAAGTGTCTACTACAGCACTGGGAGAAAAATTCCCTTCATGGACTGTGTTCTACACTTATCATGGAACACCTTAAAGTTTTAGGTTCACCGCCCAAAATCGATAACATTGTGATACCATGTTGATTAAAGGAGAAAACAATGTTTTTGATGTATTCAAAATAAGAAGATCCTTACACACACACGAACATAATAGACACTTCAAGCAGCCACCTAAGGATAATCACAAGACAATAATATGAAGCATGTACTTAATCACAAAAGACTTGCTTTTTTTGTTTTTGAGAAAGGTTTAATAGCTTATTTTAACTAATCCTACAAGTTGTGTGGTTGTGGTAGTGGTATATTTGTTCCTACAAGTCCCACCACGATAGATGCATGAGATATTGGACACACGATCTAGATAATGAAATGTAGGGGTATTCAAGAATAGCACATATATGTTCACTAACCAGAAGGATCCGTATCTCATCAAGGAGAGTATGCCCCCTTTCCTCTGCTTGCCTAGCAGCTGTCTCGACAGAAACTACTATGTCACCCAACATGAGCTGTGTAATAAAGACTCACACTAGGCTTCCTTAAAAAAACTTATGCAATCATGTCAAGAAAATATCGCATCTAGGCTTTTACCACAGGGAGTTTAAGTTCAGGAATATGCTGAGACATTGAGAGGACATCAGTAGGCTTATTTTCATCTCTCCATTCTTTATTAAGTGTGCGGATGAACTCATCATTGCAAAGAAGTAAAGATAACTCAACACTATCAAAACAGCCAACATCGCCAATTGCAGTAGATCTAGTTTTATACTCTGAATCTTTGAGACCATCAAGCTCTAATTTTATCGCTGTTGGCACATTGAGACGGAGCATTTCAGCAATATCCTGCAACAATGAACCAAGGCATAAAAAATTAAAATATCGCAGGTGGCATATTTGATACTTGATGAAATTAACTTCAATTTTTTGCTAAAACTTTGAATTAACATGATTACACAAGTATGTGTACCAATTCATGAGATCTTAGAGCTATTGAGTGTTTACTAACACAAAGAGGTCTATAATATACTGTCTTTTATATTAATCTACTATCTATTGACGATAGTTACTGGCCCAACTCCACTGCATAAATGATATGACGCCTGCATACATTGTATTCCTCTATTGACTGCACATGTATTCATCAAACCATTTAAAATAGATTTTGAAAAAAACAATTGAAAACAATCAGAAGAGTATCTGCATACTTATACTCCGTATTTTAGCTACACACCAGAACTTCAGAGTCATCAGGCAACTGCTCTTCAATGCAGATATTTACACTGAGTTCCAGTTCCTTCCCTTTCCTCTTTGCCGGACGCCTTGAATGCTTCCTGTACTCTCTCCTAGACAGGAACACTCTCCCGAACAAACGTTCCACGCTCCAACTACCGAAATATTTGCGGCGCGCGCCATTGCCGAACCTTCTCTCAAAAATCAAGGACGGTTTGGTTGACACAGTCGGGAATGAAAAGCAAGTAGACGGGGGAGACAGCCTGGAATGCGAACGCAATGGAAAGCTAGCCGCAGCGACGGAAGTGGAAGAAATGGCGCGTGGAAAAACTCGCACCAACATAGCGTCACCGGATCGAGAATGAGACAGCGGAAGGTGGGTTATCACGGGATGGGGAGGAGAATGCAGAGAACCAGATTTCTAATGCTGGTTTAATAAAGGGCATTGGTTTATGAGTGTGTATGTGGTACATCCAGACCTACCTAGGTACATCCGGGCAGTACTCATTCAAGTAAAATAGTACTTATTCTCGTATCAACATAAGCATTCATTTTAAAAAACCGTTACTCATTCTGAATAAACCTAGTACTCATTTTCACACATTCGTAGAATATTCATTTACGAATAACCTAATACACATTTTAAAAACTAGTAATAGTCATTCCCACTTAGACTAGTACTCATTCTTCAACTAAGCCCTAACCGCGAATCACCTGCCCATCATCATCACCAGTCTTCCTTCTTCTTCTTCTTCTTCATCACCGCATCATCGCAGCTTCAATTCTGCAGAATCATCGACAAAACCCCATCATCATCACCGGTCTTTCTTCTTCATCATCGATCATCATCATCTATCAGCACACCATCCCAGATCCGCGCAAACTTCCGATCGGCCCGCCTCCTTCATCGCGGATTTCTTGCGCTTCCTTTCGCCCTATTAAACGCCGGCTATACCTATCTCTAGGTACAGCCGAATGTATAATATAATTTGCGTTGGTTTATGGTTGGTTTTAGTGGAGTAGATTTTACCGGTGCGATGCACGGTCAGAATAAGTACACAAACATTACAATTAAGATAAGGTAGTGTTTGACAACTAGCATTTTATTTCAATTCATGCATTTCAATTCCAAAATTTGAAATCTTGAATTTCAAATGAAAAGGAGAGATGCATGGATTTCAAATTAAGCTTTGTTATGAATGAGAAGAATTTGACTCAAATCCAAATTCAAAATTTTTAAATTTGTCAAACATGAAATTTAAATCAAATCCGGATTTGAAATCCAAATTCATGTTCCCAAACATACCATAATTAAATTTAATATGATTCCACCGAAGCACTACCCATTTGGATAGTAACATCTCTGGTAGTTTTTTTGATAATTTAAAAGTGCATGATATAGATCAAATAAGATAATAATGGGAATGAACACAATGACCAAACTGTATCAAATAGCCTTCTTGTAACTTTTACATGAATAACATGTATTTAATTAATGTGATGTTATTTTTTAACACAGTGCTATAAAATATTCATGGAAACAAATTGCATGTATCGTTAGTTTTATCATTTAATGCGCCTAATTCAATAACTTCTTTATTTGATAAACCTTTGATCAATTTGTTTGAAGAAATCACCTTACATAGCACTCTAACTCACCCTAAATTACGCATCTAGCACTACTCATTGTTTTTAACAAATTTAGCACTTTTTTGGGGTCAATCCTTTCCTATCATGCCTTTTAACCTTTTCTCTTTTTATCATTAAAATTTAGGGCACTCCCTAGGCCGCACATACTCTTCTTGCGCTCGGCCGCACATTCTCCTTCAGTCGCCCGCCATCATGCGTCCTCAGGCCTTCTCCCACGATTCCTGGGCCGATCAGCAGCGGCAATCATCAGGTTATCTCCGCTTCCTTCATCGATGTGGCTAATAATTTTCTCTTCTCCTTCAATTTTTAATTTTCATTCCTTTATCCCTTTATTCTGATTTCCATGTATTTTTAGTTTTAATTATTGTGTTTTATTCGTACTGAAGATTAGGTGGTGTGAAATCAATTTTGAAATACCTAGTATTTGTTCCTTTTGAAAAAATAGGTCTTTTGAAAGGCATTGTAACTTTGACAGTGTTAAGATTATGTGCTATGGTGTGGGCAGTGTGAAGATTAAATACCTAAATGTTGTCCTGCATTTTTAGTTTTATTTATTTCCTTAATCCTTAATATCTGAATTTGGTTCTTATCCTTAAAAAAACTTTGCATGTCAAAAAATTAAAAAATAAATTTACCTAAAATAATCCCACCTTTCATTTATTTTCAAAAAATATGTATTTTCAAAAAATCCTATTTAGTGGCCGTTAGTTTTTTAACGACGGCCCAAAACTTGCACACATGCAGAAAGGTGAGATTAATATGTACTCCGTATTTGTTTAATATTATAAAGTTTGCAATGTGACTAAAACGCCTATCATGTATATATATACTATGTGTTTTTGTATTCACCACTTCCATTAAATCCAACATTTTCATCGCATATTAGGTTATACATCTATTCTTTGAGTTCA